GGACTTCTGAAAACATTTTTTGCATTTGAGAAAAGCTTTTTTTATACTTGCAAATGCTAGTTTACTTTTTTCTTTGGTGCATTTTAAACATGCGGTCCAGTATCAACCCTGCACATTCCTTCCATCTTTCATGATGGTATTAGAGTTATTTTTATAAGCCATATTACTGAGTATGGCAATATTCTGTTGCTTGAAACTCATTAGTGGCTCTCATCTGCCAAAATATTCCTTAGCTCCACAGGCTCTTAGTGACCTTATGGTTACAGACTCATATCTTTCCACTTCTTCCCTACCTTCACCATGGAGTGCTGCGCCCCTACAGGTTCCGGGCCTCCTTTTACAGAATCGTATTCAAAAACCACCAACACCATCTTTCGTACCATCAATTCTTACCATCAATTCTTTGTCCAGAGTCTGTACACTGTGAAGGATTTAGTGTCCAGTGTAGCTGACGCTGAAATTCAGCTCGGTCTTCGGTATGGATAAGTTCATACACGCTCTGATGTATGACATCGGACTAAAGCAAAAAGATACAAAGAAATAAAACAAAAGTACCGATTAAAAAGAATATGGCTTACTAAAGTAATTTCAAAACGTCTCTAGGTTAGTGGGTGCTAGTTAGTGGTGATGAATGTAAAGGGAATGATTGCCAAAGCTCCCCAGTCATCCAAGACAGGAAAAGCTAGAGAGATTAGCACTGTAACTGATAAGCCACAAGTTAACACGTCATCACTTCCCAACATGAATGCTCTTACTCACACAAATAAGTCACCTCCCCATTTCTTAAATGCAGCACATTAAGATCTGTTTATATTTCTTATCCTTTTATCTTTTAAATCCTACTTCTTCCATGAATCCCTCCCTAAACACCCAGGCCTCTGTGACTTCTCTCAGCTGACTAGTATTCATTATGTATTTCCTTCATTGTTCTCTAAAAGTTCTCTTTGTATTAAATTTTCACTCTATGTGGGTTCCATAAGCGTAAGGGATTGTGCCTTTACCACGTAAGAATCCCTCCTCATTCTCTTGCTTCTCAGCATTTACTACAGTGCTGATCCCTTAGTGTTTAAACCAGAGTTTTTCTAACTTTTTTTTACTACACCTCATGGTAAAAAACACACGTTCCAACTATCACATGTGTGTGCACACAGACACATATACACAGAAAAAATGTTTCACAAAAAACCATTATGAGTGGTGATACTGTGTGTTCATTCTCTATTGTCTCATTTTATTCCATCCTAAGTAACTACAAAAAAGTCTGGTGATGATCTACTATATGAACAGCATACCCATTAATGGGTCACAACTTGCATTTTAAAAATGATGCCTTAATTCACCACTTATGTTGGATATGAATGTTCTCTTAAAGAGTATCCATGTGTATGCAGGACAAACAAATAGACTGAAAAATGGCTAATCTCCTTGATTTTAACTGACCTAAATAACAATAGCAAATCATGATTAAGATCGTTAAGTTTCAAACAGGCTTTTTTATGGATATTAATATATTTTCTTTAAAATGCAAGAAAACTGAAATTTAGGCTTTGTGGCAGTAGCCAGATTCCATTACTTTAGTCTTCTACACTTAAATCTCCCTAGGAACTTAATCTTCTGATATTAAATCATCTCTATGTCACCTACTACACAATTGCCAGAATTCTCATCTGAAACACAAGTTGAAGCATACACATTTCTTTTTAACAAAAATTTTCAGTGGTTTTCATTGGGTATATGATATAGTTGAAACTACAATCTACACAACAGTGTTATATAGACAGTGTTATTCAGCCCAGTAGCCTTGTGAGCTTGTTAGAAATGCAAATTCGTGGGCCCCAGTATGACCTACTGATTTAAAACATCTGGAAATGGGGCCCAGATATTTTATCAAGTCCTTCAGGTGATCTTATGCATTCTTACATTTTGACCCTTATTCTTAAAATTTCAGAACCAGACATATAAGATATAGCAAGCATTCAAGTATACTTACAATCTGTTCTCAAATCACATCAGCTCTTTTTGTTCCTCAAATTTTCCAAATACTTTATAACTCCATTTACTCATCATTCATTCAATAACATTAAACAAGTCAGACACGTTTGCTTCCTACAACTT